ACTCAGTCCAGAGCTGCAGCGACAACGTTCAAGTCTTACCGAACTAGGGCTGACCAATAAGGAAGTTCGAATGCTAGACAGAGTACCAGCTTGAATGATCTTGTTCATGTATGCGTAGGTATACCAGGTATATAAGTGCGTGCGAACAGGTGTATGTAAAGAGTCACGGAACACTCCATAAAAAAAAACAGAAAAAGGACAGCCGTAGACAAAGGAGAGGAAGCCCAACAACATTTGGCCTAGTTTATGGCGGACATCAACTGCTTTTAATTTGAATGTCAAGAATCGCTGCAACCCGCCCCAACCAACTAGCAGATTTAGAGATTTAGACATTGAATGACTAGTGTCAAACAATTCATATCTTAGTTGATCTCAGTGAGATTTCTTAGGCAAATCAGAAAGACGAAGCCAACATATTTTGGTACGGGTAGACAGCATCATTGTCAATTTTCCCCGTTTTACGATTAACATGTCCGAACCATTTTAATTAGAGCTCACATTTAACAACAGCATCGCATGTCAACGTGATCACCCAATATTGATTAGGAGAGGCGGCGTGCTCCACATATGTATCCCGCAAACTGATACCCCAGCAGGTCAATAAACCGTCACCATTAAAAAAGTAGCACCGATATCATGGTAATTCAGTGGGATGGAATACGTCAGATCTTTTAATGTGTTGCACATATCGTGACGCTCATTGTTTTAAGCGATGTACGGTATTGACCATTTTGATGGATGTGCAATTGCCGCCGTTTTAGATGGGTGAAAACACCACAAAATGATGGACAAGATACCTGGGTAATTCACCAATCCTGTGAAATTCTCTACACATATGACGGCTTTTTATCCACGTCTGAGATGTGCCTATCTGATGGGTTTTTAAAACAGAGCGGCGTTCTCTGACGTTCACCGGCAGGCATCGAGCGGAGTGATTCTTGTCCGAGTTGAATCTGTTGCCTCACTGCTTCAAGGCTAACGGACAGACGTTTACTTATGAGGATGGTTTATCGGTACAGGGTTGTCAAAAGTACGTATAGGCACCCCGGTGCTTTCCATTATGACTATCATACTTGGACAACTTACAAAATATTCAAACACTCAGGTAATGTGTTGATGCCGTATTATCAGCTGATGGTAGATCACGTAAAGAACTCTTTCGACTTTGTTAATATTCTCTGATCTGTCCATATCAGTGACGACGAGGTAGCAGTAAGCCTTAACGTAACAACTCTTTGTGCCAGTGTGGCAATTAACGACCGTATACCACTACTGTCCTCTATTTTGTATGTCGATATAGCTGTAGCAGAGAGAACAACCTAAGCCAGCTGTTGACATTACTGGTGATGGCTAACCACCAGTTATTTCACATTTCAAAGTGTACTCTGTATGCTGACCGACGATGTTGCGATGGGCTCTACTGTACCATCCATGGTCGTTTTTTGCAAGACCTCGCCCATCCACCACGCACCTGGCTGAGATACGTTGACGACACATATCATCATATCAGCCACACAAACACAATCGTTCATAAACTCCTTGGACAAACAAGATAGTAGTATGTAATTCACTATGGAGACTTGAGACTATAAATCTCCTGAACTGAAGAATATTTGTTAGCAGTAAGAATGGGTTTTCGGCGGGAATTCATAGGATAACCAGTCATTCAAACGGATACTTATATTACGAGTACTCGCATCAACACCGCGCTAAACGCGTGATTGTCAGACCCTTGGTGAGAGGCGTCAACAAATTATTCTCGGGTGGGTCCACACGGGCAGATGAACTGGAATGACTCAACAGGGTAAAACATAGAATTCATCACCTGACTGTTAGAGAGAACACTACCGGAGACTGTGATACAGGAAAACAAAAACCAAAAGGTCGCTGCGGAATACCCTATAGTGACGGCAATTGCAACGCTATACGAAAGATGACTGAGAATTACGAAGTAGAAAGTCTTCTCAATTGATAGCACCTTACAACGACACTTTGCCTTTGGATCTTACCGAATGCAAACATCGCACAGAGTGCGTCTACCGAATTCTGTATGCAGAATGTCCAGCCAAATACATAGACGAGACAGCTAGGCAACCCATGTGCGAATCACGGAGTGCAAACAGCACGCACATTTTCCTCTACGAACTCAAATCGAAATGAAAAAACTTGTACTTGAGTCAAACCAACAAACCACCTTCAACTGTTCCACTAAGGATTCAAGTCACGCGTGAAACGGACGTATGCTGAAAAACGAACCGCGTAAACCGTAATGACGAAACCACCATCAAGTCCATTTAGCTTGGACTTATTACACATTGGTGGAGACGGTGACCAGATGCCAAGCAGATGTCTCAACAATTAAGCATCACAGTCAACACAACAACGGAAGCACATGCAAGCCAATGTACAGCCCACAGTTCCAACACACGCATCTGACTACCAACTTATCTCAGGAACATACCATTCAGAAGACTGGATGACGGAATCAAATAACACTGCACTCGACCGATATTCAATTGATCGTAGACAACCCCCTAAAAAGGTTGCGCACAGAAAACAAAAAGTCGGGTTATTATTCCTTTGAGTCGTATTTAACCTTAAAGCTTCCATAGAGAAGGAAATTTGTTGTATTCAAGGTTGGTGTCGACAGGGACTAAAGCTGTATGCTGGATATAGCCTAAACCTAACCAAATATTTTCTGTTGGTAATGTGAGGAGATTTGTGATTTTTGTGAAGATTTCGTCCTGTAAGTGAAGCCAATCTATCTCGGCTTTTCACAATAGATTGGCTTCACTTACAGGACGAAATCTCCACACAAATATTTTCTTTCCAAATCTCTCAAATAGTGACTGTCTTTGGTTCACAACCGACACTAGCCATCAAGGTGAGGAAAAATAAAACACTGAGTGGTAGGAGTGTGATGACAGTGAGTGGAGCCTGAATTGTGCCTTTTGAATCATATGATCTGCACAGCCTTCCTGTTGTGGAACATAGTTTTCCTAATGCCTTCTTAATATCCTGAGACCGAACCTGGATAGCCGCTTGATAGCCTGATGCACCTAACCGAAACAGAAAGCCAATGAACGTGCGAATCAGCTGACCCATTGAACACTTACGCGTACAGGCGTCTGGTAAAGCCGAAAACGGGCTGCTTTTAAAGCTCACGTGGAAGGTTCCAGGCGGGCCAAAGAGTGATACCGAAAATAGGACTCATCTATCAATGGCAAGTGAACAACAACTAATTAAATGTCTCAACAAAAAAAACGGTTATTCCATTGGCGGTTGTGTAGTCCAGTTACGTTCGGAACTGGTTCTCTTAATACTTCTCTTTGAGACGACCAGAAATAAGCCACAGACGAAGTCCATCACGCGCGAATAGAAATATAGTGCACCCATTGTTCCTTTTACATTTTCGGCGCTATATCCTGCTGACATCTGAACGTTGGAAGTGTACATTTGACGTCTACATGTTTAAAGCTAATGAAATTCTGAACACATTTACCGATTTCAATTCGGTGATTAAAGGTTGTTAGCGAAAATGATAGGCGGTCGTTAGTTAGGACCGTGTGGACAATCTAACGTTGGGACGGAAAGTCTGTGGCATTTCGTCGGAGAACACATGGAATAAAGTCACGCAATCTGTAAGTAGTGACTCATAAATGAATACATGGTGATCAAGGTCTGCGCTCTCCCTTGAAAATGTTTTTCAGCAAGTACAGTAAACGTTAATATTCTACANTACACGACGAGCTGCCTTTCAGTGTTTAATCTGAAGAGGACATCCAATAAATTCCATAAACTCTTGATATAGAAATTTATAATCATATTTTTTCTAAATATAAAGGATTGTACCGACTGGTCTCCGCTTATTTTTAAAAGTAGAAACGTGATAAGAAAAGGCACCATATTTGCGCCGCTATCATTTGTACTGGGCTTTTGTTCAGAAAATAAAGCCCTGAAAGACAGTGATGAGGGGGGGAACGACTTCATCATGCTAAAAGAGGAAAACAAGATTTAATACCCAATCCTTGTATATGTTCACTTACAGAATCCTACAATGAAAGGGGCAGACCTCAGGCCCGTGAAGATAAGCCAGATGAAGTTGATTGGTTTGCTTCCAACGGAGCTGATGAGGTAACTCAAATGGAACGAGAACTATGTTGTAGCTTTCAACTACAAAAGTCGGAATTAATAGCACTCAACAAAAGTGATCGCGCTCTATTATACGGGATACAAAAGAGATGGTACTTTGAAGGCGACCCGGACCTCATTGCGCAGGTGAGCTCCGCGCATTCAGTAGTCACAATGAAACCAATTTGAAGACAAAAGCCCTATTGGACTGTGGATTCAAAGCAGAAATAGAAGTGCTGGATCACATCAATCCTCAATTTCTGTGTCAGGAATATCTGAGTATGAAATTAAGAAGTATGGGTATTTTTCCATTGGAATAAAATATACTGACGAATTTTCAATTTCTCCAGCGAAAAGTGCCTTCGGGATTCGGGCTGTACCCTTGAAAAATCGACATGACAGCAACCAGTACTAACAGTCTAGATGGGCGAATCTAAGTGTTTCCAAAGATATTTGGCCGAAGATAGGCCGATACCAATCTGACGAAATTTCCAGGCGCCATCTTCGCCGATCGCGCAGTAGATCCAGGCTACCTTTACCAGGTCTACTAAAAATCATCAAGCTTTACACAAACCAGAACCTCCTTTCATTAGGCGAAATCAAGGTGACAACTAAAAGTCTACCAAATCTATGTGCATGGGATTCCGTAAAGCTCCTCCTGAGGGTTGTCACGTGATCGGCGTATGACAGATTTATATGCTTCTTTCGCATTCGTTCAATTATTTACATGCTCAGATGCAAACTGGTTACATTAACCATCGCGGCTGAAGAGATGAAGACAAAATATTAACACCCAGCGAACTGTCATATGACTTCCTCGGTCGAATGGATTGAAGAGACTCAATGTTTCACATTCTATAATAGTCGAACGAGTCGCACCGAATGTTTGAGTGTCGAAAAACCGAATCAGGCCATTCGGATGATAAACAATTGAAACTGCGAGTCGAGAACAGTAGAGACTGTCGTCAGATAAAAGATGAAAATTGCTTTGCGGAGGATTCTTTTGTCAGGTTATGACCGGGTGCATAGTAAGTTGAGAATAATAAAAAAAAACTCGAGACATTGCGATAGCTCGTTGCATGAAGTCAGAGTTTGTTGAAAATGCTGTCCTTGATTAATTGGCCCATCAGAGCGTGGAGCTGTTCAGTGGCCAGTTTCGTTGCGTCTTTCCCACACTTGGCCAGACGATCTTCTAGGCGATCATTATCCCAATTCATTCGAGATACCTGTAATGGAATGCGGATCACATTAGAAAAGAGAGAACCACTGACGACAACAGAAATAAACACGGTGATTATCTACGATTCCGGGCTTTACGCGACCCCTAGAAGCCTCAATTCAATGCAGTGTTGAAAAAATGCTGGGCCTCAGGAGTGTCGGTGAACAGTGGGAACGCCACGTACCACAAAAAAGACCGACAGCAGATTTTAAGAGAAACTAGTTCCAAATGCCATCACATTCAAGTAAAGATATAAACATATTTACCGAAACCCTACCTTTCAAACCAAGCATCACTAGGAGGGAAGTTAAATGTGTGCTGTCGACATTTAACGAGCTAGCTACTAGCTACACTGGCACAGAAGACAATTGGGGGAGCAATGAAAATTTAAATAATCATTTAGTTACTCTAAGGATAGTTAATTCATCGTGTTCAGGTCAACCGTATTCACATGAAAGTTAGGTTGATACCATTCAAACGGAAGCGACTAACTCGACAGGTGGGGTGATACACGCCTCAGGGAGATTATTTAAGATGCGAAATTTAGCTGGAATTTTTCGGACATATTTGTATTGGAGACACGATTTGGTAAAATAATTCCATGATATTTCGAATTTCTCGCGCTAACTCAGTTAAATTGTGCGATGAGATAATTTTCAGAATATGAGTGCACAGAGTCAGTTCAATTCAGTTCAGTTTTACAGCCCAAAAAACGTGCACCAAGATGTAGTTCCAGCTGCTACATCTTCGTTTAAAGAAGGTAAAAAGCATAGGAAAATGAGCCACGGTCAATGGAAGCAAGTTAAAGAAGCTATGCTCTCAACTTACATAACTTTCTGTCAAAAAAATATTTACCAACAACATCGCTTGGCTCGTCTAGAGACATGAGGTTTGAATTTGATACAACCCAATTTTCTAGCAGCATTTTACGTTTCGTAGGCGTGAAGCGCATGTCAAACCGTGCAGCAGGGTTATTTAGAATCGTTTGCATTTAGGAAGGATCTGAAACAAGGAGAGTAGTATCATCTGCATACTCAATGTCTGTGAGCGAACGTCCAGGGAGCATTCGACTCCCGAGGTTTCACAGACAGGCAGAGAAATTTCCATCAGCAACAAAGTTGAAGAGGGGAAAGATGACAGCCTTGTCTTATACCACTGGAGGTGGTGAACTCAGGCGAGAGCTTCCCGTATACTCGTACGCGCTCACAGGAGTTCGCATACAGTATCCTCATAGAAATTTGGAGGGGGCACCTTTGATCGCCAGATATCGCCAAGGTTTCTGACGATCGATAGGGTCAAAAGCAGATTTCAGATCAAGAAAAACAACTAACGTGGAACGTTGAGATGATTGGCGCTGTACAAGAACTTATCTCAAGGTAAAGATATAGTCAATGCATCCTCGACAAGGGCGAAGCTCAGTTTGATTCTCACGAATCTGTTTCTCCCGATAATCGATCAATCTGCGCAAAATAATACCAGCGAGCACCTTAGATGAGACGGACACCAGGCTGATGCCAATATGATTTTCGCATGACATTCTTGAGCTCTTTTTCGATAAAAGGGGCTCCAGTAGATTGACATCTTGTTTTTTATTCAAAACTCCTTCTTCTACCTGCAGTATTTTTGTCAGATTACTCACCAGGACCTCGCCACTTTCTTTGAAGTGCGCAGAGTACGAATCATCCGGCCAGGTGCCTTTTTACGTTAGGGGATTGATATCTCACGCTCGATTTGGGTTGTCGATGGCGGGCAGGTGTCGATGTTCCAATCAGGCCCGCTGGGCTCTTCCAGCACTTGTGTTTAAGGAGACTAGCGTTGACTGTCATTCTTCAAGCCCCTGCTTATATGGTGCTTGAGGGGTTTGCATGCGCCACTGCAATCGCTAGTTGATAGTATGGCCCTTCTGGCGGAAGTAAGATCCGCAGATCTCGAGGATATGCAGTGTTCAGTTAGTCGAGTCAGATGTTCTAGACAAAAAGTTGTGAAAGCTGACGGCATGGCCTCTTTAACTTGTTTCCATTAACCTCTAAGTAATTTTCATCGTCCGCATGATCGTGCGTCTCCAGTAGCTTTCGATAAGCCTTAACTACTGAAACTTGTCGAATTTGATTAATGGAACTGCTTTGCTTTGGCACACGTAATCCTGATGGAAAGCGAAGCGATAACTGGGCTCACACAATGGCATGACTAGAGTCAATTTGCACACCCTAGAAAGAACGACAATCTTTAATAGACGCTCTGCATCTGTAACTGATAGCCACATGGAGAGTTCATGACAACCTTTGCGGTTAGTGCCCTCCAAGTGGCTCGACGTGAGCGTTTGTGTTGGAAGTTCGCAGTGGCCAGGAGCAGACGATGATTAGTGCACAACTGAAGCAGTTGCTCCGCATAATTCTTAGGCTCAGAATCGACTCTAAATGTGCAACCTGATTCCGTCTCTTCCAGGCTTAGTCAACCAACTTGTGCATTCACATTACGCGCCAGGGCAAAGTGGTCGCGATAGATCTCCTTCAGAACTGCAGTCGATCGGGGCGTATGTTGATACTACAAATGATCGATCTGCATAGATCTTAATTGAGCCAAACAACAGCACAGTGCAAAGACGACTGTTTACTGATATCCGCTCCAGTAAGCCGCCTTCAAGCTTGGGGTCGAGCGTGACTCCCAGATGGTAGATACGACGGGCCATTGCTTCAGGACCACCAGATACTCGAAGGGTGAAATGCGGAATATCTGAGCTCGTCCTAGGCGTCTTGAGGCGCACGACCGAAGTGGAGTCTTGTATACGTTTTTCAGAGACACAACATACATGGACAGAGAGAGAAAGCAAGGTTTCAGAGATGCCTGTTGCCCAATTTGATATGGAGTACGGGCATTGAAGGCTGCAACGTGGATCAGAGCTCTTCGGGTTAGTGAGTGATTATTTTGGTTTATTTTCTCGGAGATAATTTAGGCACAGAACAATGGCTATGGAACTGACAGATGGGTTGATCGCACTGCATCATTCGATGGGTAAGGTGTGTGCGGGGGAAGCCCCGTGAGCGAACACCTGTAAGGGCGAACGACACCTCTAGGTTGCCCAAACCGAAAAAGAAGAGTTGGCTGAGGTACCCCACCTTGAGCCTTTGACGCAAATATCTGACCCACAAGGTAGTGGGAGGATGTATGGTTTTGTTCGGAGACCCCGCTTTAGCCTCTGACTCAAAAGTCTGACCCGCGAGGCAGTAGACAGTAGGGTTTTCTCTGGGGATCCTTCCCGGAGCCAGTGACTCAATAGTCTTAATTACTTGGCTACAGAGGGCCAGCCTGGTTCGAGGACAGATGGAGAAAAGCACTGTTTTCTCACCCCTAATGCGGCTGCGAACAGCAGATGCCTTCTGAACAAAACTGGGCCCTATGGTTTCAGATGCATTTCGACCGTATTGTATAATGCACAGGTGGTAAACGTCAACTATTGGGCAACTGGAGTGTATGATTTTAAGGGTCAACCTTTTCTAATCCGTTCGTCCTCGGGGGAAGACAGAATTACTGATTAAATCAATATGAACATGCTGATCGCCTTACTGCCTTTACATTCCCATTGCAGAGGACAGTACAAATTCACTTCCAGACAGCCTCATTATACAATTAATCGCTGTTCCTCGTCGGATTTCATGGCATTGTCGAACTTTAAGAAGTGAATTCCAGCCAGTATAGTCCGCAGCACAGGAGCCCGAGCACCACGACAAGGTGATAGCTTTAGGGACGAACTCGCCAGAATTACAATATCGTAAAACCCACCAATGCTAATCAGGAGACATAAAAGTCCAAACTCAGTTTGTATAGTTGACAGTAAGAGAAAATCTCTAAATATTCAATCAAGCTTTCGTCCAGTAAGTGGAGTCGATCTATGAGAAAAACTGAGCTCCATCGATAGCACAAAAAACCTTTCAAGAACGTAAAACTATCACCGGGTTAATGTGCCGTTTCTGTGAGAACAAGCTCTTCTGAGGCTAGCTCAACTGCAGTGGTGGCTGGCAAAATCAGATAACATAAAGTCATGTACAACAGTAAGAACAGTTTTAGAAAAATTAGTAACAGCTCCGTCACTCTATAGCCGATGGCTGCGTACCGATGTTGGTAGTATGTTCATCACAATGTTTGGATATCGAATTATACGTGTTTTTACTAAGAGTGCAATGAAAGGCTGTATACTGACATCGCAAGACAGCTGTTGCCCTGTTTTAGGCTTATCAGCTCCAAAAACAGTCGAAAGTAATTTCCAATAATAACAACCTTGTTGTTACGGATCCATCGGGCATGTTTGCATGGATGTAGGGCCCAAATTGAAACGATGGTTTTGATCTAGAATACACGTCCGTCTCTCCTGCTTACCATGACGTAAATTTAAATATGGCCGACTGGCCCATAACACAAATCATAGTTGTTGGTAGTGTGGGGAGATTTGGGTTTTTTGTGGAGATTCTGTCCTGTAAGTGAAGCCAAGCTACGCTGAAAAGCCGAGAAGCACTTTACAACTGTTTCATCCATATTGGGAATCATGAGCAGTGCGCATCTCACGAAACTCCGGAGAGTCTCCAACCCGCGACCTCCTGGCAAGTAGTTTGAACACCTAACCGTTCGGCCACGAGTGGCTGACCAGCAGTGTGATTAACTCGCACTTAGAGAGGATTTGGCGTCATTCATCCTTCAATCACGGGATTCACATCACGCGGTCACACATGTTGACTGGGTCCTCGAGCAACGACTTCGAGACTTCGTGAGATGCGCATTGCTGATGATTCCCAATGAGGATGAAACAGCTGTACAGTGCTTCTCGGCTTTTCAGCATAGATTGGCTTCAATTACAGGACGAAATCTAGACAAATCATAGTTCATTTTCGGTATTTGGGGTGATGGTTTGATTGTCACGGCAAACTACGATCTCCGGTAAGGGTCAAACGTGTCTTTTGGGGTCGATATCACACAGAGCGCGAAGTTACTCATTTTAAACAGCTTGGAATTCTAACTTTTCACCCTTATGCGAACGTAGTGTTTTCAAAATGCTACTCAGAAATGTTAACAGCTACATTGCAATTTAAATGAGATAAAGTGTGCCGAATCACCTGTCAGCTACCGGGACGAAGAAGTATCGCTGTACTGAAACTATTTTCATCATCATAAGATGCATTAAATTACCACGCTTTGTGCACCTGACAGTTCACTCGCACTGTAAAATCACATTTCGTTTCCTCGGAAATGACGGTAACTGAGGCCAAACTTTGACAAAGGTCATTATTGGACCCGTTGATTTTGCATAAACAAACAATAAATAAGGGTCCTCATGAACTATTTCACGGACAAAACTAGTTGACTATGGCCATTTCTAATATTCGTTAATATGCATTGTCTTTCAAGAAAATGCATTTTTTATTTCGGGAACGTGGTACCCTACATTTGTAACTTTCCACCTGTTTGGTCCTGAGTGGCTTACAGTAGATACAAGTAACCACCATTCATATAGTCCTTCTTTATGAAACTAACGAAGTCTATACCTGAAATCTGTTGTTTAGATTCCAGTGCTGCATCTGTTTGGATGAATTCTCCCCGTATTTGTAGCTTACTGGTGTTGGTCGTAAGTAGTGTACTGAAAGTAGCCGAAAGATTTATGGTGTCGTTAATCTCAGTTCTTATGATGCCGCCTCATTAATGGAGCTCTCAAAGACGAAATGTCCTCACCAAGTAAACAATTGTGCAGTCACGGATTTTTCCACTGTGCTCCCTCTGGGAAGCAAACCTAGAAATTGATGATAAGATACCTTCTGTTGCACCAAACAGCGGATTTACTTTTCAGAATGAGTGTGATTGATCGGAGTTGATGAACTAATTTGTCACACACTAACCAGCAATATGATTGAGATACTTCAAATCCCAAAATCTAAACTTGCATTGGCACAGTACCATTCATTTGAAAATTTCAATCTTTAAGGCGATTAAAGGTAATAAAGCCGATGGATTTGAGGGAACAAGGGATGACAACTCAATAACGCTCGGGTTTCTGATAGGTCACTGAATAAGGCGCCAACTTAGGAACCACAAAATCCAAGGTTCGAACCCAACCTTTGCATCTAGAGTGCTTCTATTTAGGCTTGGGCAAGCTGGTAGCATCCCAGCTCTTGTGCTCCCTCCTGTTGACATGGCACCGAAAGGGTGCAACGGCTGAACGTTTTTTTAAATTACCAGTGTCTGGGTTGTCAAACAAGATCAGTCATTAAGACGGTTTATTTAGTGGTTCTTATTCGAGCACAACCAGACGAAAAGCTCTAATTCATAATGACCCAAATGGAGGACTAACGATTACTATGCAGGTTAACAGCGGTGCACAAGCATGTGTCATATACACCAGTAGTGAATATCTGGTATACTTTCCTCACAGCCGTTAAAAAACCAGGACCTGGAGGAAATGTCATTACGCCGGTGCATAAAGTGTGCCATATGGTTCATACTTGCCACGCTCACATGTGCGCCTCGTTGAGGGGTGATTATTCAATCTCTTGAGACATCTCCTTGGTGCAGAGGGGCATTATACCATTGTGATCAACCAAATAACACGTATTTAGGACTCTAGATACGTGAAATATGTACAGCTTCCTGTTCCATCCTCCATCGTCCATGTAATTTCCGTCTTACACGTATACTGATTCAGGCATTTTCATGATTTGTCCGCATGCACTTCATAGATGTTGATGAACCGATTAGTTTGCATTGGATTAGGCGAACACGAAGCCAAAATCAGTTGATACAACGTGGAAAAGGTGGCGGCTTTTGTGTACATGCCTTTCCATCAGATGAGTTCAGAAGAGTACGGTGAAATGTCCTGTCAGAATCCACACTGACAGTGCGTACTGTTGGTTCGGTTGGCTAGACGCATAAATGGGCCTGCCCCGATGGCTGGCAAACGGTGAGTCTGTCGTCTATGAGGACCTAGATACTTCCAGTGCCCGAATGGTGGTGGCAGATGGAACTGGACAACATGCAAGCATGGCTGCCATTACAAAGCTACTATTGTAACGGTGATACTACTGATAGGGAGGCACGCGAGTAGTATGTGTTGTCCGTGGGATTTTGAAAAGGGGAGATCTGTTGCGGAATTCGTGGAGTCACTTTGTAACATTTGCTTGGATTTGAGCGAGGAATGATTGGAGTCAATGAATCTCCAGGAAAGTTCAGGAAGGCGCGTTCGGGAGAAGATGGGTGTCCAGTTTTTGTAAATAGGACGCAAATTAGAGTTTTGCTTCCCTGTTCAATGGTCTGTAACCGGTCAATTGGCATTTCCTAATAAATAACCCCGCAGCGAAGGCCTTCTTCCTTTCACTATCACGATAGTAGGATGGTGGCGCAATTATGGTAAATTGCGACTAAGTAAATCACACACCGATCGATACTTTTGGGACTGTATAAAAGTATTTATATCCATGCATTTTGATCAAAGCACAGCGAACTTTGAAGGCATCCACCAACGCCTAAGAAAAAAATGAGCGAATCCAACTGGTAATCGATTATTTCAGCCGATTCAACCGCGGCTGAAGGCATAGTAGACAGAAGACAGTTTTAGGGACATCGAAGTTTTCCAATTGCAACCCTCCGGAAAAAACGACACAGAAACGAATACGAAACACACTGAGGTCCCTCATATGTTTTTGTCTCTAAAGGGGGGGGGGAACACAATGGAAGTGCTCCATTCCCTTGACTCAGATGGGCTACAGTTTCCAAAAATTTGTCCTAAAAACAGCTGAAACACGAACCAGCCACCGTGGTGAACTCCTTTCAAGAGCTGAACAAACATTTCACAGGTGAAATGTAGCTGGGAAACAGGACGTTTCTTGAATTCCCAATAATCATGTATTGTTTGGGGGTTACATAAGAATACACTTTGTCATTAACTGTTGCGCTTGTGATTCCCATTCAAATTTGGCTGGATGGAAAAACGACACGTCCCTAATGACCCAGGCGACTGGAGCTGACAACAACTATATAGGTTCACCATACTGCTTGAGTATGTGTAAGCTGGAAATTTTCAAAAGTATTGAACCACTGTAACGGAAAAATGTATCTCACTCTCAACTGTCCAAAAAAGCCCATTGTAAATGAAATATCGCCACTCCAGTACAGAAAGCGTAGGAAGTGGTCCTTTTTGTTCAAACTTACTGAGGGAACATCCTTATCCAGGAATCGTGTTGGAATTCCTCAGATGGGTTTGCTGGAGGGAGAGAGTACTACACTAAGTAACAGCTTTAGTGATATCTTCACTCGATTTATGCTGCCCCGAAAAAACAGTATCAAGGCTGAAAGTCTTAACAGCAGACTAAAGAGAGGATACTCACTGAGGCTACCGTATGTTCCACCTTTTCAGCAAGGTCCTTTGTTAGGCCAGCTAAATAGTCTGGTTGAGCAAGGATGCTCACAGAACTGAGAGTGTTGACCCAGTACTTGTTCCACAACAGATCCAAAAGTCGTTTATCGAGAACCGACTTGAAATGTGAAACTTCCAACGGATAGTATTGTTTACAGTGAACGCCAAAGTCCTCTATTTTATCCATTGGGATAGACTGGTATTCTGAGGGACCTTCGTCTGGTGCACGGTAACCAACAGGGTACGTGCGGAATGCGCCAAGGTTGACTACAAAGTGAAGCAGACAGGTGGATGAGCAGAATTCATCGAAGTATTTTTTGAGGCAATCTTATGTAATCGGGAACACAGCTCAAGTGTGTGTTGAACTGGATGAGTGATCAAACCGACATACAACAAGAGCGACTGCTACACCGCAGCTATGCCTTCACCAAACAAAACGCATTCGAGCAGTGTTGGTATCAAGAAAACTGCTTCATAATCATCAAAGTAAGCTCAAACAGTGAAATGTTTCAGTAGAACATGTCCAACAAAACGCCGGTCCGCAGAAACGGACGAAGTAATCGACATGTGATATCAAAATTCGCACCAAAATGTAAATGATGTCAGGTATAGGTAGATAAAAATGGCAAAAGACTAGCAATAGTAATGAGAGTACAGAACTACAGCTATAAACAGGTTTGTATGAAATGCAAAAAGGAAAAACGTCTAATCAAAGACGATCATTCTGGAACAATGACTATATTTAATAGTACATTAGGCGAATGTCAGGAAAATTCGTTCCACGGTTAACAGGCCGAAGTGCTTCAGGAAGGCAATGTGACGGAGTATTGGCTCTAGTGCGTCTATTAGTCAGTCATCAAATAGTTGTGGAGCTATTCGCTGAGTCGAAAAGTATTTACAACCGCTTCGTCAGTAACCAAGAAAGAATACTTAACACCTCATCGATTGGCGACAAGTGCCAGTTGTCACGAATGAATCAACAACCAACACATTTTCGACAATAAACTACTACAAAACCTTCTGAACCTTTAACCAATCAGGGCAACAAACTTTTCTCCGCCTCCTGCACTCCGCTAGGATGAAATTGTAAAGACGTATGATCGTTGAAGCATTGTGGGAACTACTTGGGTATTGAGGATCCACTACGGATCTATCTATTGGCAAGTAAATAAAAGACAACGGAAAAGACGATAATAGCAAAAAAAACTGGCTTTAGATTTACCTTTTCCTGAGGAAATCGTTCGGATGGGGTCGATCACAATGGCTACAAATGGCTCTTGATACGTCTGGTTCATAAGCTGTGTTGTAACGTCAATGCCTGAAAGCCAGCACCCATAGCCAGGATGAGAATGATACCAGCCAAGCACGTTTTCTGTTCTACCAACGCGGGCCACAACTTCCTTGTAGGTTGTCATGTATTCATAGGCCTCAGCCTAAGTAATAAGAACGGATATTAAGGATGAGAGTAAGCTGGTGTAAGTTGGACACTCTGGGAAGACAGCAAGCCTTCGTGGCCGCTTATGAGAATAATGATTACAAAATTCTGGATATTGACAAAACAGACAAAAAAGAGAGGCCAACCCGAATGAGGCTGACTCTGCGAAAAAGATCACGCTACCCTACTTCTTGTAAACGGCTTCACTAGAATTATGCGACAGTGGCCAGCGTGACTGAATGAGCTACGTGTTTGAGATTGGTTGACGATTAATCTGCATCGGGATACCATACCGTTGGTGGACATTGAAGAACTAGCGAGGGGAAAACAACGGGGAAACCACCACCGACCGTAAGAGATTTAAAATGGAGCAAAAATGAGCTTACCTGTGCATTTACTCTAGTTTCTGTGCCCTCAACTGGCAGCGGAGTGCTGTCTACTACAATCATTGTCTGATGGGCAACTTTTCCGATGAGAACGCCCATTACCTGAAAAACAGAATAAATGAATTAAACTACACTAGACTACACTGGACGGGCTGGAATATCACGATGTGTGCAGGACGAAAAATGAGAAATCAAGTTTTCAAATGTTACATAGTTTATTATGCTTGAAAGGGCAAAGGCAACAGAACTGACCTCAAGATTCCCACCTGAACGAGCATGAATTAGCATTTTCAGTAAGGCAACTGCAGACAATTTTAGCCACTTGAAGTAATGAGGATCCTTTTCCCACGGCTTGGCGTTTACAATGGACTGGTGCGCCTTGACGTCGTACTTGAAATACTCATCGACCGGACCCATGATCACCTCCACGTTGTTATCCGCATCCCACGTCGTCTGAGCACTGGAAGAGGCATTCAGGGGAGCGGCCAGCGCAGTCTGTACGGGGGATTCATCCACTTTATCTGTTGGGGCAGTAGTTGACGAAGGAAGACCCTCGTCGGTATCCATAATGGACGAGGCGAGGCTGAAACGGTATCGAGAAACGATTATTCGCCTACAAGAAAAACCAAATCGAAACTTCGTAGCTTCTGGGTATGACTCATTGGTCATGCCCAGAAACTGTTTGACTGGTTCCGCAAGTTGACAACTCAAAAGAATGCACATCAAAACGCATCAATATGTTAAGCGATAACTAAAAAAAAGTAACACTGAAGTACAACAGATTTTTGTCTGTCACACATTGAAAATATAAGAACTGAACGACCAATCATACATTACCCTAGACTAGTGTCTTGGGCCATCTAGGTCAAAGATAAAGCAGGTCCTATGAGTGTGACTCACTACTGACTAGTGGGGAGAGCAAACCAATGTAGAAGTTATGGCAAGTGCAATCAATGCGATTATTATGCGGCTACTAACCTTGCGAACTGGAGACCCATTTCTTTGAAAAAAGGTGCACCGTGGCAGACAAATAGAGATAGGAAATAGTACCCGTTCCTTCCTTACGACTGAATGGATTAGTAGTGTTGATGACAAAGTTGTCTAGGGTAATATGTCACTAACCAGTTCATCCTTTGTGCTGTAATAAATGTTTTCAAACCACATGAATGTGGTCGATAGTATCTCAGTTGCAAGAATGTGTTGCTCAAATTATGGAAAGAACATAGTATTTTTATGAAACTATAGTTAAGCCTGAAGAGTATTGCTCCTGAATACCACATAAATCAGTCCCGTAAGTTGAAAATATCCCTTCACCCAAGTTTAATGTAACCGATTAAGCTAGCGCGAAGAGAGTAAATCAGCCTGAACTTTCAAGTTTGTCGTAAATGAGATGTGGTTGATCAGAGGTTCTAGTACTACAGAAACAACTTGGTTCCATCACACATTAACAACAGGCACTTAGTCTATGTCGGTTCGAAATGCATTACCGGTGTGCATCACATGCCGATCAAGCTGCGAACCAATGCGCCTAGTTGAGACAAGGAACTTAGCGAAATACACTCATTTGCAAACTAATTTGGCTTTGCGAGAGACTCATCTAGAACCCAGCTGAATTTCTCGTTTGTGATATTTCCGTCAACTTTATGTTCTACTCGAAACCTTATAAGTAGTGCATTACCAATATACGTACATCAGGGTATTTCGAATAGCGTAGCAACTGAAACATGAGGCGGCCTGGTGCAGCACATTCAGTTGCCTGGAAACATAACAAACGAGGGATTCAGCTGGGTTCCAGGTGAGTCTGTCGCAAAACCAAATTTGTTTGCAAATGAGTGCATTTCGCCAATTTCGTGCAATTTGGTTGACGGAAACTCGGGGACTGCGCCTATCTGATGAGCCCCAAAAAGGATGAAACCGGTCGTGGGCTGTCGAAGAATTTTTAGCAACCTTATGAGTAGTACATCATGAAGGAAAAACCCACTTTATTAAAACGAGGCGAAAAGTAGAAGCTACCCATAAAATGTCACCTTATTGACCAGTGGCCGTTGGACTTGAAGCTGAACGTTTTTTAGACTTGAAGCAGTGTGTTTTAGGCTGACCTCATATGGGTTGTAAGTAAAATCTGCAGCATATAAAAATATGATTCACACGCTATACACAGAATCAGCTATTGAAAAGCAGCGACCTATAAGCTCAGTGGGTCAACCATCGGTCATGTAGTTCGTTAAAGATTTGTCACTATTTAGGGAGCAAATGACCGTCTGCAAAGAAAAGATAAAAGTCGTATATTCGAAAATTACCCGGTAAGATAGGGTGACAAAAAAGGCAAGCACCAGTCGCATACCGCCAAAAGACACCCAAAACTAGTCATAATAGAGCTCTTGCTGACGAATACCTTTCCAGTGCTTTCGGGCGGCGGCATTCCTACTGAAGTCGGAAAACATTAGGGCCTTCGTACATATTATAATAAAGTATAATAACATGATATAGCATGTTCAACGACAGAGTCGAAAGCATTCGTTGTGCGCTGGACCTGCCATATCCCACCTTCGTCCATTTATGTTCAAGATATTTCTGTAAGTTTACCGCAGACTGAACTTGGCAGTTAGAGAGTCGCACCGGAAAAATCCCAGGTGACGCTCACGACACTACTCTACAGCATTAGCAAGAACGCCTGCGATAAGGCCCCATACGATTTGCTGATATTCATAAAGTTAACTAGTCTCCCCGCAAAGACAAGCAGCGGAAAAGTGGCTAAATATGGACCACTCATATCATCACAAGGAAAAAGGGCAAGGCTAGAGTAGAAAGGAACCAATCGAAGCCAAATAGATCGATCGGTTTCCTAAAGAAAAAAAAACTGAACTTCAAAAGAAATTAATGCCCTCCGGATGGCCATAAAACATTCAGTCAATAAAATTGATGCATGAAACAACAGCTAATTTAAAGCAATAGTACTTGTGAGGTTCCTGGTGTCAACACCACCAAACCGGGGGATACCTAATGCCTAATGGTGTTTAGTTCTAATTTTTTTGACAGACCAAAAAGCGCAAGCATTACTAGGAAATCAGACTAAGGCCACAAGGTCCATTCGCATGTGCTTAGTACCCATAAATTGCAAAAGATGTGGGACGTACAGCCTTTGAGACTTGGCCACTTCGGGTGGAAGATATGAGACACCTTTATATTCCCGACCACACAACCCCGGGACTACAGTTAAAAGGAGTTAGAACCAGCGGATTCGCATTGTGATTGGGAAACAAGTATTTGATGAAAGGGAAGGTGGTGCTTCACCCAAGCAGTACAACGAGCACTGCACAACCAAATGACTGGCCATGTGCTGTGCATACCGTGACCTTCTAACGAGAAGGGAGTTGTGCCTAAAGGTGGACAGTATTCGACATGGCAGAAGGAAATAGTGCTACGAAAGGTTTGCGTGTTGTTAGTGCTGTTTGCATTCTGTTATGGAGTCCACGTGACGCTCTTTGTACCTGAACGGAGACACTGAACGATATGACAGCTAACTAATGTCAACGGCTTTCATGCTATTAGTTTCTATTCAGATCATCTGACTATGCTGGAGGTGTAGGCACCTCGGGGTAGGCTAGCCATAGGCTCTAGAATTTGGCGCAGTGAATTTCCACCTTAGTGATTGGTTACTTCTTGAACCTAAGCACGGAAAACCAAAAGCAGGAATACGAGGAAATTTAAACACGAGATTCTATGGAAGAAAATTAAACTGCAGCATACCAGAAAACACTAGCAATACGGTTCGGCAGGCACATGGACAATAGAACACTAACAGATTATAGCCAATTTTTCTAAGTCACTGAGAAATGTGCACGCGCTGACAGGAAACTCAGAACCAACAATCCATCGTTCGTTAATAGAAAAACAAACCAATGCAAAATCCATAGCTAGTGACTGGTTAAATCAACAAACAAAGATGCTAAATAAATGTTTTATTGTACTGAACAAGACTGAGAACAAATGCGTGAGAACAAGGTCAAATAGTTCATGATCACGTAAGTACATGTTCTGTACGGAATCCTTTCACAGTGTAGCGTGCATCCATCCTGGAAGTGAGTGGCTAAGGAGAACGGCTAAGATTATCGGTATGGAAGTATAGATAAACAAGGCTTCACGAAGAGACAAACGTATCACCCTAGCCGGCTCGCCGGATCGTGCAACAAAGATCCAGGAGACTGCCTTCAGGACTGTGGAGGCTAATCACGAGTAATGAACGGGAGAGGCATGGCACATTTGCATGGTATGTGGTCTCAGTGCTTCAGTGGTTGTTTCCATTGACCCCGGGGTTGAGGTTTAGGAAATTCTGCCTTTCGGCCATCGATGGATAGGCTTGGTTCCACAGGACCCGTTGGCAAGTTAGTGACGACGGGTAATCGAGACCAGTTGACAAACGTGCGTAGTGGACGGACGGGCACGTTGATATTCAGTGCTTTCAGTCGCAAATTTCGATCCGACGTAAGGAGCACGATTTCACGATGAATCCGCATTGGCTGGTCTGTAAACGGGAGATATAAAACAACCACTTCAAAGGAATTATAAGCAAGGTAAATAAGTAAACATTGGAGTAGTTTTCGCAGGGTACACAGGAAACCAGTTACTAGTCGGAAGTGATATAGATGTGGCGGTGCCATAATAATAGACAGTAGCCAGCTGTGAAAAAGTTACGTGTACATGGGGACGTCACTTGTACCTTCGGGTGGCATAGCAGTTAGGCACCGATAGGGTGCTCCAGCTGAACGATTTTTTGAAGAGGTTGACGGTCCGAATTTTCCCACAGGTTCGTGAGATGCGCACTGCTGAGGATCCCCAATATGGATCCAACAGCTGTAAGCGTTTTAGTTAGAAACTGAGTTCATCTGCGGGGCATAATGTCGATTTGAAGTGTCTGACTTAACGAGGTATCTGCCATTCGGTCAAAGCTAAATCACTACACAAAGGCGGATCAAACGTGACAGACTTCATAGGACTTGGCAATACAATCCCAAGACCCGGGTCCATCGAACCCAACGACGTAACATGATGGAGAGTCATCCGTCTATAGATTGTTCTGTCATCCAACGAAGTTAACATCATCAACAATGAATAGATCCTTATACCAGAAATAAAAATTGTGAAACCGGGGACCACCGAAGATCATTCTACCACAAAAAATTGGAAACTACAACACTCACACAATCTGAATAACAAATGACTAACATCGGTAATATGCCATATCTTCCAACATCTCTAGCCAACCATGGGTCAGGTCACCTGGGTTCCACTCTGGGAAGCGAACGGCGCCAACTGCACTCAGACATTCCGTAAGATTTTTCATTCCGTATACACCACACTGAATTAGATATGGATAATAACGCTCATCTTGCCAAACACAGGAAGGGTCATGTAGGCCGCCAAACAGTTCATAACATCATTCACTTCATTCTTCCACTCAATATGCTATCATCCAGTAGGTTACACGTCTACGGTCTCTTGCGTAAGCGTGTTGAAAAGAATGGACCGGTCGATAGAACCGAACGCATTCTTGAAGTCAAGGAAAACCGAAATTGTATGGTTTCTACAAGCATGCCACTTCTCCAACATGGCTAAATGGGAAGCGGTGGGAGACATAACATTTCGCCGGCTGAAATCACGTCAACCAGAGGTCATCAATGGGGAATCACTTAAAGTTCCTATCAGCTCTGAGGGCAGTATCTCCGCGGACGACAATGAGGTTTGCCGATTACTCAAAAGTGAATTAAACACGCACATCTCCCAAGGCAAACCTGAGTTGCACACTAATCACAGCCCAAAGGATAACAAGTAACTTGCAACCAAGCAACAAAGATAAAATTACTTTGACCGAGGAATTCCATCCACAGTGATAAACTGAAGGTACAAATAGCAATTACAGAGGACTAAACAATTCATAGGGTGGTCGCTCTTGTTTACCGGTATTTGTGTGCCAAGCTGATGCTTGCTGATGTCATGCTGTCAATGATGATTCGCTTGCTGCAACAGGGATTCTGGGGAAAATAAAAGTGCGACTAACTAGCGATTCTAGATTCCCATGAGTTAAAAGGTGCGGAGCTTGGTCCCAACAGTTGTGAACACTGACTAGTATGCCGACTTATGAATATTCAGAATGTCTATCGAAGGAATTATCGATCCTAGCGAAGACTCTGATGGCAACAAAGGCATGGACTGGGAATTTCGAAGCATGAACAACTGCTATGTCCGAATCGGATGGTAATCTTCATGTGTGAATTTTTTAGCGGCCGACCGAATTTTAGAACATCCAATGGCTAACTAAACAGAGAAAATTATTCGTGAACTCCGCCAAATAATCTTATTTGCATACCAATGTGCTTTTTCTACGACAGACTCAAATGATTCCAACTGACTCTCTTGTTTATGCTGGTTCTCTGCAATTGAATGTGTGAATTTCTTGTTGCTCAAATGGCTGAACACCAATTATTCAGAAGCAGGCAACGACTGTACGTTGGATGCGAAATCACTAACAGGCCGTGAACACCTGCACCCAAACGCTACTGGCATGAAGGAAGTTTGCTTGTAGGGTAATTCGATCAGTTGCCCAAAGACTTCCACACAGAGGTCTACAAATATAGTCACTGTGTCACAGAATGACTGACATTTGTCTGGGCACGTCTCGGAATCCAAAACTTGTGGCTTATAGAAAAGTGTGTGGGCTGTTTCTAGTCTGCTAATGCCATTAAGCGAAACACTGACTGGCGTATTCGCAGCAATCTGCGAATCTGCAACCTCACAAATAAGTGAGTTGGACAATTACGACGACTAATAAATGGTAAGAAGTCTCTTGAATAACAAAGGTGAGTTCCGTATGCAATTCTCACGTATATCGAATTCTCTACCCATAAGCAATGGGTATTGAGAGGCTTGTGCATATATGTACCGTCAGTGACAGAAACTCCAGAAGCAAATAATGAGACCTTAGATAGAAAAACTAGTTAAAAAGCGCGGAGTAATAATTGTGAGCGAGTAGAAAATCCACAGCTAGCTTTCTTGTGGTATCCAAAAAGTACAAAAAGATAATGGTACTGACTACTGAGATAGGAAAATACGATGTGCTTAATTGTGAAAACTCTTACTGTTCGATTCACCAACAAGTCCCTGATCATTGCCCCGCCGTGAAGAAAATCGTTCAGGGTCTTCCTTGCAGAAGTGATTACAGCAGGCCAGTATTACATCATCATTCACTTGCCCGGGTGCCCGACCACCATTGATTTCGTTTCGAAAAGCGATCGTTTCCATGAAGCTTCCGCGAGCGGTCAACGCTCGGAGTCGAGTGTTTCTGTGCGCAAATTCGTGTTCCAGGTAAGTTATCGCTGCCCTAGCACGCTCTTGTATGAGACCAGCACGAGTTACGTCACCTTCCTCGTCGTCGGCTGTTCGCCAAGAGTTACTGCTGCTTCCGTATCGAGCAAGTGTGTCCAGTTCGTTCACCACTAAATGAAAAAAAACAAGCTCTTTGCTAAACAACTCAGACGATACAGCAAAATGAAGGTGTGGATCAAATACGATTGTTGGCTAAACCACAAGTCCCACTTGAAGGGTCCGTCTGGACAGTGGAAGAATCCTCACCACCAGAACACCCAAACTGCGATGGAATAATATAGAGCGGAGCTGTGATCAACAAAAGAGGTGAACGACACTTACCAACGATGGGTACTAGGACAGTGTAGTTCGACGACCGTTGAGCTAAAGTGGCGATCCCCTCGAGCCAATCAATGTAACAGTTTGTGTCCGGCAACAAATATATCGGGTGCACTTCTAATTCGACTGCACGGCGTCCTCCGGATGCGGCTTGTCTAATCGCATTCCGGCGCCAAGCGGCCAGCCTGGACTCCTCCTCTAGTTGTCGCTGAAGCAGAGCTCGTTGACGCTGAAGTGCAACAATATCACCTGATGCCTCATGTTCTGTCTCTTCTACTGGTTCGTACGGAACTGATGGCTTTTCATCACCCTATAAAACGATAGGCAATGAAAATCGACATCATAGGTTTTAATAAATGAACAGATCAATTACTAATGGAAGTTAAGTGCATTGAGGAAAGCTGCTTTATGAAGCTTGCAGAACTCGAAGATCCATAAGCTTTTAATGATGCACAAAAAGGAGGAGTAAAGCGGAATGGAAACAAAAAATCGAAAATGAGGGATGCCAGTCGTGCAGCAATTACAGTGACTGAGAAGAAATATCGCGCGAAACAGGTCAACCTGTTGACTACATAAAAAGCAGAAAATATGCTCACTGAATCGTTTACCCTCACATTGAATGATGTTGCATTGTCGCTAAATGCTCAGAATAACGAAGTTGTGGGTCATATCCAGTGTGTGGAAGGACTTAACTAGCCTTCAGAATTATAAGAAATTGTCTTGAAAAGAACGAATGAAGTTGCTTCCCTTTTGAATGAACAAGCGTCTCCGTTAAGAAACCAACCCAGGTTACGAATTAGTTTGACTGCGAAGTATCTAAGACATAAAAAACTGATATATTTGGTCGATAGACCGCTTACAATATCATATGGACTAATAATACCAAGCTCATTGGATTTTCAAGTAGCTCGATATTTCGAGTCCCTTGGTTGGGTGTCGTTTTTTGTGCAAACAGCTGCAGGAATATGACACACAAAAGAACGAAACAATCAAGAAAATTAACCGACCGTTTTCGAGATTGGAAATTTAATAGGGGACCTTGTGACAGTGGGATCCACACTCCTCTGCAAACTCACGCTTGCGTGATGGAATGAATGCGAATGAACATAGTATGTTCCGAAAAAATATGCGCACAAGACATACGAAGGTACTTGAATCCCTGACACTTGAAGAAATAGGGTATGGCACTTACATTGTATGCGTTAACCTGCGTCTGCACTTGCCATGGGTGGCGAAACGTTGAAAAATGCTACCGGTTTCGTCCATCTGTGCTAGTGATAGTGAAGAGGGGATCTAACTGCAAATTTCGAGAGGATGGCCTTTATCAAGGTGAGCGACCTATGGCGCCTATGAAAGACACGGTGTAGAACGCTACAATCCGAGCTATTTTACCATACGAATGCGAACCCTGGCCTATTAGTGTTGATAAACCTCGTAGGCTGACCGTTTTTGATAACTGCTATCTACACAACATTGCATATGTAGAATGGCAACACGTCAGTAATCATGAACTCCATCACTGTGTGTTGGCGACTATAAACCCACGATTGAAACATATCGGTTCACAACATCAGATCAAACGGCGCTCCGAAAACCTCCCTAATGATTCTCACCGTGCTTTATTCCCACAGGCTGGTTTTAGTCTGATGAAAAAGCGAATTGGGCAAACCTAGAGTATGGGTTTATCAAAAATTTCAAATGAATCTCATTTTCTATTGGTACGATTCGTAACCCACAAAGCCGACCAGTGCTGGCAAACTGCACTGAGAAAAATGACCCGAAACCGGAGTCAGTGCTGCAGGTGGTTACCATTCTCTTCTTAACTATAGCATGAAGATTACCAAAAATGTCATAACCACGCCACAAGCCCTAACTAGTCCAGCAATCCAAGCGATCGGAACACAGCGTTCGAAACCTCAAACAACAAACCGCTGAAGATCAGTTAGATCGTGTGCGATGGCGCCACTAAAACTGGAAGATTGACAATACTGTGTCCTTATCAAAAAACATCAAAAGAAGCGGCTTCTTAAGAAAATTGGCTGCGAAGGACTGTTGCGACAAGCCACATGGTCCGGCAGAAAGAATCGAGCATGGCATCAAGCAAAGAACGTGTTTCTAATGCAAGGAATTCCAAATAGTATTTTCATCCCAAACGAACGACTTTAGAAAAATTCCAGTCACACAACTGGGACGTGAGACTAACGCTACTTTACCGGTGTTCATGATGAGAGGATGGGACACTGTGGAATAACTGAAGCGACTGTTTAAAAATTCGTAAACTCAGGCCAAAAACTCTACACAGACCACATCTCAAAGCCAGGTTTCAAGCAAACATGACTAACAGGATAGGCAATTTGAGTGCGAGTTGGAGGGACGCTGTAGCGTTCGACTGAGATCCCGAGATATGGTCCCGTTGGGTGACAAGGTGGGAGAACTCCAAAGCGTACCAGACAAGCAATTCAGTAAGCACTATCGTTTGGGCTGTCCAACGTATCATCATAAAAGATAACAAAACGGAAGAAATTGCTTCATTTAGATACCCGGTTTTCGCTATCTTACTTACTCAATATGCCGAAGCAGTTCAACGTCAGATTACCACGGCCAGACACCAGTTATGCAGTGGTCCAAGTTCCTATTGATGACTGCGACTGATTTACCCACAAAACTCCGGGTCTTCAACGCAGCTGCTTGCCTTATCTTAGTTAATGCCTACATAGCGAGTTGGAGGTTTTTTATTGCTGGGGCCTCCATAGAAACTCTGAAAGTTCACTGCATGGAGTGATGAAATCCGGAAGGGGTGCGAAGGCCTATCGAGTCTATCACTTGGGTTCAAGTAGAACATACGGTTGACGAAAGCTCGGGGACTTCGCCTACCTGATGAGCTCCAGAAAGGGCGAAACCAGTCGTGAGCTGCCGAAGAGTTTTCAGCAACCTTGTGAGTAGAGTCCTTTAAGGAAATTCTGTCTCTTCAACGATGATGTCTAGGAGTTTTTCACGCATGGGTGACGCTGAGGTTGTCAAACAAGCCCTAGCTATTCCACTGTGTAAAGGGTGGTGTTACTGCCTTGGAGGACCATGAACACACGGGTTGCTGCGGTCAAGGGTTACATGGAGCAAGTCGGTCTTTATGCGGCCTAACCGATGCATCACTGAAATTATTACTGAGTTGCGGTTCGCGCAGCTATGATAGCAAGTTGTCCTATATAGGCAGCTTCCATTCTCGCAGTTGACTGAAGATAACTCTGAAGATAGTTACCGAGGAGTAAGATGGGTACAAGAACAAGTTTTACCAGAAGTGAGCGAAACACTTAAGCGATCAGAAGAACAGAACAAAAACTGGCCTCATCAACGGCCATCTGCTGAAGGCCAATGTATATGACAATCTTAATGGCGCCTTATCACAAAAAAGACCTCAGTGCAGTTTATAAATAATCGGCCTGTATGGACAGTGTAAGAGGAGTAAAACAGTTATATATGGCCGAAAAATTTCCTTCCTCAGATAAAAAGTACGGTATTAACTAGCTGGAAAACAATTTTATAACAATATCGATGCTGTAGATTGCAATGTCGCACTGATAAGGGCCATACAATGAACGCAATATCCGGGAACAAGCCGTATCGTAAGACTTGACAAATTTCGAGTCAGAGACCAAAACAGAAATCTTAGACGGTTCATATCAAAGTGAATAAATCATACTCAAAACATCAACTACGATGTTGCGAACTTACGAAGCCAGCTGATTCACTCTCGGAAACCCGTCGCTCGTCAGAAATACTCGGGTCAGTCTGCTTGTCCTCTTTACGTTCTGACATCTCGCGCTCTATGACAGCTTCGTAGACACCTCGGTCTACATCGTAGCTCAACACGGGCGAATCAATACCACAGAGGAAGTCACCAAACAAGACGATCTTTTCAACTCGGACGAAGTCCGCTACGGTCTCCGCTGTCCAGTGGCCGGAATAAGTGTACATCTGTGTTGGATGCGCAAGAGTGTGAGATGATAAAACATCGAGTCAGAGCAGATTTAATTGAGGTGGCAACCAGTTCAAGAAATAATAAGTAAGCAACCAGAAAAATAACATAACAGCATCCAATTTCGGCTTATGAAGGAATCGGGAAACTAATAACGAGGCCTTAGTAGTGAGAACTTACTTTTGGAACCAAGTCTAACATCGGTTTAAATCCAGCACACACGGCCTCTTCAAAAAGAAATGCATTCTCGAAATTCCCACCTAGGCAAGTATGTGCTTCAGCTGAAGTATCCTCTTCTAGATCCTGACCTTCAACTCTATCTTTAGATTGAAGCACCATCGAAGTGGTGGGAGTGAGTTCTTCGTAGCGCGGACGGAGGGGGTTTCGATTCATCCAGTTAGCAGCCTGTGTACAGAGACTGGCTATTAACTGCCAGTCATTTAGACATGGTCGCAGGGTGGGATCACGGTGATTTGGTGGAGGAAGCCAGTGTTCGGGATGCAGGATCATCCACTCAGACCACAGCCGAAGCGCAGACAGCAGTAATCGTGCGTCGGGAGGTAACCACCAAGCAGGGGCATCCTGAGGAATAGGCTGGCGGACAGATGAGGATATGAAAGATATAAGGAGAAAGCGTTCGCCAAATACGCAATACAACTAATTTTTTGCCAACCATGGATCGTGTATGATAATACGTTGCTGCGAAATACCAAAGCACTTGGGCGTTGATTGCCAGGGAAGAGAGACGAGAGTAACTGAAGTGCATAAAGTAAGACAGCAAAGTAGAAAGGAACCGAAAAAATATCAGCGAGCTTAAGCATAAGACTAAACGAGTTGAAACTACTGCGCAACTACTAGTTACGGGAAAACGCTATGTGAGTGAGGGTGTCTAGCAATGGTGAAAGGATCACTTTGTTCGCGCTGCGTCCACTTCCAGTCAGACTAGGCGCCGGCAAACATGGCACTCATTAGGTAAAAGTACAACTGCGCAGATAAATGAATTCACTGAACACTTAGAGGAGCTCACATACCGTATCAATCAAATCTTGGGATAACACATTGTATGTTGAGTGTGGCACACATTCAGAAAGGCGTAGAAAGAATATTATGTATCTATGTCGTATTTGATCACAGTGGACAACTGACGTCTTCCCTAGAAGTTCGACGCCGGAGTAAACTCAAATTGCAAAGATTGTTTCCATTACAGAGTTGAAAAAATAGGTGATGTGGTCAACAATGGCGAATACATTCTTTGACGGCATCCCCTGTATGCGTTCGGGGAATGCTGAGATGTAGCAAGCATGCTGAAGATTTGCGGTGCACCGTTGAAGGAAAGGCATTTTCAGAATGCGACAGGGTTGACTGAACTGAATGTTGTTTTTAAGCTTGAGACGACTGTTGTCGGTCTTCAAGAGATGTGACAGAGTGTATAGATATGGTAGGTTCACTAGCAATTTGGACGGGTTCCTGCTTACTTTTTACGCGAATGCTTCTCACGAGTGCTTGTAAGTGCATGCACGAGAATAACTGTTAGCAGGTTAGAAATGATCGTAACCAGACTAATACCCGACTGGTTAGTACATTCAGTTCAAGTGCCCTTATAAAAATCGGAATAATAACTGAAAACTGTCACTCCTCACACTTCTAGAACTTTTAGCCTTGCTATTCTCATAATGCTGTACCAATGAACCGTAAGACCTTAACCCCAGACTAGCTCTTAACGCGAGTACTCGTATTAAAAAAAGTTGCAGTTCTCCAGATTGTTACTTGTTAGCATTTTGGACATGGCGGCACACCCCTAGGACAGATGGACTGAAAATGGAAGTGGAGCTTATTGAGTACACAGTGAGAAGGTCCCAGTTAGTTCTTCACCACTGGTGCGAAGGTATTTCAAACGGCAGTATCCCAAGAGATTACATTCTGAATATAGCATACGTCAATTGTACAACACGGAATGAAGGCGTAACAGATGTAAACCTGACAATTTGAGAGGACAGCATAGATTCAGGGGGAGGTAGGCGAGCGAAAACAATAAGCAATGGACTAACGACTTGAGAAGCTCCATTGTCATACTACTAGAGGAAAGCCAATAGTGGGTGATATCCTGTTTCATTAACGGTTTGTCGAGTAGTATATGAGGAAGACGTTAGGGTCAGGCGAATACACAGCATTAACACTTGTTGGTGCTGGCACGTAAATAGCGGAGGTCTGCAATAACAAGCTAAAGGGGTGCTGACGGAACCGAGTAACTAATGGGCTAAGAAATAAATCTTACTTCCCGTGCAGTGGAAGGGACGAACGCCGACTGGGAATCGGGGGTAGAACTATTAAGATGACAGAATTGGGTATCAGCAATCTCACACGCCTAAAAGGATAACACTCACTGTGAATTAAAATTACAACCTAAGGCACGATCTTTTATCAATCCAGAAAGTTGGTCCATGCAGTGGAATCACAAATGCGGGTTTCGACATGATGAAATTCAGAAGACTACTTGGTTAGGGTAATAATATCACGCTGGACTACGGGGTAACCAACTACGTCGTCTCTTCATAGGATGATGTGTTAGAGACTACCTGACAGCACCGTATCCTCAGTAAGTAGACATACAACGAAGTAGCGAATGGAGCCCCAAACTAGAGGGATCAAATTACCTTATTGGAACAAAATTAGGCTATCCAAAGTGTAGGAACAAAGCAGCTTTTGAGTAGACCGTACCAAGTTTTGTAGTTTTCACAGGGCAAAAGCCGATTATTGACTCCGAAAATGCTCAGTAGCGTCCAACCGTCACGAAGAGACTGGACAAAGTGTAGGACAAAGCAGCTTTTGAGTAGACCGTACCAAGTTTTGTAGTTTTCACAGGGCAAAAGCCGATTATTGACTCCGAAAATGCTTAATAGCGTCCAACCGTCACGAAGAGACTGGACCTTACCGTGGTGTGACGGTTTGCGCACCTAAGCGATCCATTGAGCTATACTGGAGAGTGCCCGCGACACTCACAGAGTCTCTCATACCAGGTTGGTCAATGGTTAGAGGTCTGACGAACACAGTCTCCTGGCCCTCCAGGTTGGGGGTTGGAACATGTGGCGACTTGTTCCGTAGAAATGGTAATGCATTTGCATTTCCCGCCAAACACCGCTGCCTTGCGGTTAGGCTTTTGAGCCGAAGGCTTTGGTTGAGGACCCTAATCGTCCTCCTGTCTAGGTGTGGTCGCCCTGGCAGTATCCCAGCCCACGTACAACCATGAATCGCACATATACAAATAAACTCATGCCACATCGGCCGTCGCGTGGTGCCATCAGCCGGGTCGCCTTACTTGCTGCATACAGCAGGGCGGGTAAGCGAAAACATGCTACTGCTGACGCCTCCCTTCCTTCTCCTTCACATACTTTTTCTTCCCCCTCTCCCCACCCCATTAATAACTCTCTCCTTGTAGGCCCAGCACTTAGGACTGATGACTCCGTTCGTCATGAATCGGTTTTGCGTGCAGCGTCTGCTCGTCACATGG